CAATTCTCAATAAAAATTATATATATAAATTTTATTTATATATATAAGTTCTGAAAGCATTATAAATTCAGGCTTTCAGTATACTTACCAGAATATTGCAAAATTAAATTAATGGTGACTGATACAAAATATTTAAATAAATCATACTGTATCCACAAAATGTTTTCTGAGTTCTTGATACTTCACAAGATTTGACCTTAATTAAACAAGCTTTTGAGGAATATAGTCTAACAAATACTAACAGCTGCTTTTTCACTGATTATTGAAAATAATCCAGGAAGGCCATCTGTTCCTACAGGACCATCTAGTTCATGTAAAATCTGTCCACACAATATCTATGGGTACAGAGATCATGCTACAGAATCCTCCTTTCCAAAGATGTTAGGAAATCCAGCAATCATAAGTAGACCTTCTCAGTTGTAGTTCTCCTGCTCTGGAATACCCTGCCCCCTGAAATTAGGATGGCCCCTTTCCTGTTGTCATTCCAGAAAGCTATGAAGATGGTACTTTTCCAATGATTCTTTCAAGCAGGGAATATCCTCTTATCAAAGACAACCAGGGGCGGTGGTAGTAGTATACATAGCCAAATGATGTTATTGGAGTTTTTGGGATTGAGAGTGTATGGATGTAAGCCATGTAAATTGTCATACGTAAGGGGCATACAGATACATGCAAATTTAAAAGAAATGAATAAAAACATGATTTTGAAACTAAAAAAGGAAGAAAGAAGAAATAAAAGTACAGTGGTTCCAGTGGTAGGTTAGGGATGACGGTATAAATGAATTTATCTAATGTATGTTTAAAAGATTTTAACAAGGGAAAAATGTTGGTAGTTTATCACGAAGATCTTGATCTTCATGATATTTACCATGCAGATCTTCAGAAAAAAAAATGAAAAGTTATTTACTTGACATAAATTATTTTGACATCTATTTTTGAAAGGCATACATTTTTTCCAGTGAAGTCCCAGTTCCACAGTGGTAATCCTTAGCTGAAAAACCCTTCCTCTCATACTAATTACTCTGACAGAAAAGTATTCAACATATTTAGATTTAGACCATAAAATATAATCCCACTGTTAACTGAAATGACATTCAAAAGTAGTGGATAAACTTACACGTATTTGATGAGTAGATTTGTATTTTTCAGGTACTGACAATTCTCCAACGGATTTGATTATAGCAACTGCTTTGTTGTCATCTGGAAGATCTGAGCTGGTACTATACAATCCATTTTCATCACTATCAGGCATTTCTTCTTCTTCTTCACTATAACTTTCATCAGAGTTGCCATTTAAAGGGAATTCACTGCTTTCTTCTTTTTTTGGCTCATCTAATTGGAACAGTTCTGAGAGCATGTAATTTGCTGAAGCAATAATCTTATTTGAAATAAAGACAGAAATAAGAATTCAAAGGGTCTCCAGCATTACTTTTTTACAAATATTTTAAAAATTGGATTTAATAGTAAATGTTGCCATTAAAACATGCTTGCTTATTATTTTAAACTGAAGAACAGGATGTACTCTCAAACCAATATGGTCCCTATTTTTAACCAATGGCAGTTTACTGTTATAGCTGAAAAGGCAAGCTGAGTTAGCTTAAACTCTAAAATAAGGCAGGCTTATTTAATTTATTAAAATAAGACAGGCTCAAATATAAGTTAGATACAATAAATTCCAGCTATTTTAAACCATATCAAGGGAATGTATACAGCCAAAGTTCACTGAAGTGATTTAGCATTATATCCAAGCTAGACTTAAGTGATATAATTAAGTTATATACTTAATTTTACTAGTCTATATAAAATGTTTTCATTGAGTGCCCATGAGATACAGAAACAGCAGTAAACAAATTAAATTCTTACCTGAGGATGCCTGCCCTTGTCCAATAATTTTACGCAGTTAAGGAGTAAAGTTCTAATAGTACCATAATGTTTCCTGTTTTGAGTTTTTTTCAACATCATATTGCATGCAACTCTAAGAAAAAGTAACAGAACAGAGAAGAAATAAAAATTGTCACATTTCAAACATTTACTGAAATTTTATTTTAAATATGTCTCAGAAAAGAAGAATGCATTGTAAATATTTTAATGACAAGAAAATGTTGATGTGATTAAAGACAATCTTTTCTTACATGCTGCATCAGACAGCTTTAAATTAATTTTGAGTTTCACACATGCACTGTTTTAAAAGTTATCTTTGTAGTACTGCAATATAACAGATTTTGCTTTTAAACACTGTGCCACAAAAAAGTACTTTTGACTTAGAAGGCAACTCTACTCCCTTGATAAAGAATCCTAGAGAGGTTATGATTTGTGACTTTCGGGCAAGATGGCTGACTGAAGACAGCTCCGCGAAAAAGCGGAGCTGACGTTTGCAGACTTTTTAAGGAGCCTGTCAGTAGATCAGCTCCTTTGATCCTATCTGGATAAAAGAGAGAGATACAAGATTGCCCAAGCTGTTTCTCCTTATGCTTGTTCTTTTTCCTCACGAAGAGACTGCAAGATAGCGAACTCCAGTAGGGGGGATACCTGGAGACAGGGGAATTTGCCATAAGCTGCAATGGAGCCTTTAAAAGGACACTAGGTTTGTGCACTTCTCTTGCTAACTACCTTCAGCAATTGCTTATTAACTGCTTCAAAGGGACAAGGCTAGAAACACCTGGTGAGTGAGTGCCTTCAAACCTTAATATAAGAAAATAAAGATTCATTTTTATAATTTTTATTGGAGCTTGTTTTTTAAAGGAGAAATGGTCTGTTTTGTTATGTTAAACTTTATATTTGGTTTATTTATACTAGGATATTGGGAACTTTTTATGCTTTTTAAATGGGGTTTTGCTTATAGCTAAGAGTTGAGACTTGGAAAGTTGAGTTTTATATTTGTTAATTAATTTTAACATTTTAGAGCTCTGTTTGGACTTTTTGCTGGCAATTGGATAAGGAGAAGATGTTACTTACTTGATTTTTTTACTACTAAGAGAAAGGTTATGGGATGAAGAGTTTTATATTTGTTAATTAAGAGGGGTGAAGAGATTATGAAATTGTTTATATTTGTGATGAGGGTGGGAAGTCACTTTCTTAAAAGGGGGGCTGTTTGCATTTTTTTTTTTACTTTATATTACCTAAAAATAAAAAATAAAAAGTTGTAATAACAAAGACGTTTTGATTTGCTAGAGGTATTCCACTCTCTAAATGATCCTGCTAGCAACAGTCCTGAAATGAAGTATGGTAAGCAGTTTGCCAGAGCTGCCTTTAGTTCTAGTGGACCCAAAGCTGCTCCCTTTGGCTAAGGCAACCTAAATAAATTGGCATAATGTTTCCTTTGCTTTCAAAAAGGAAATTAATTGAAGCAAAGAGACCCCCCAAAGCCCCTCCCTCTTCTTCCCTCTCTCTCTATAAATAAAATAAATAAAAGAAGGGTCATCCAAGGCATGAAGATCATCCCAGCTGTCCAGGGAAAACGAACAGGCACCTATATTGTGTTGCAGTGGTATATGAAGATTCAGGAAGCAGATGATCATTTTAGTGACAATGGCAAAGGCATAATTTCATACTGCACAGGAAAAGACAATGATAACCCATTTCTCTACTTTACTAGAAAACCACATGGATAGATAATATGATTGACAAGTCACCTGAGGCACAAATGACCTGGCTCTAATTATCACATTTTTGACACATTAGAGAAGTCTAATACTGGGAAAAGTGGAAGGAAAGACAAAAAGAAGATGACCAGCAACAAGGTGGATGGACTCAGTTACAGCAGCAACGGGTGCATTGTTGAAAGAACTGAAGGATGAAGCTGGGGGTAGTGTCTTGGAGAAAATCTATCTATGTGACTGCAAAGAGTAGACACTGAGTTGATAGCACATCATCATCATCATCATTATCATCACCACCACCACCACCTCCACAATTTCAGGAGGTTCAATGAAATCAATCCTCACCTCTTTCTCTCTATATATATGTGGGTGTACACATGCACACATGAAGAAACAGCCAACTCTAAATTTAAGACAACCCCCCCAAAAAAAGTATTTTGGGAAGGGAGGGATGGATTTACTTTTTTGTCAGATAAATATAATATCTAGCTGGCTACACAATAAAGTCCAAACAAAATGCCCTACCTATTTCATGGTTCCAGTAATATATTCCACTTAACAACACTCCTTTGCTACTTTCTTTCCTTTGCTGTCTTTCTTAAGCACTACATCCTAAAGGCTGCTGCCACAGTTCTCCTCCAATGGAAAAAGGAGCTCTACAGTGAAATCAGAGAGACTAGATTTTTTTCAGGAGGATTATACACCTACCATCTATTGCTCTTCATAGCCTTGAATTGTCATGATAAATAGAATCATAACTTACTTGTAGAGAAGAATTGCTACTGGCATTGTGAAAGGGTTTTGGTATTTATCTTCCGTTTCTTCACAGAGAGTGGTGAGATCATACAACTTCACTATATCACTTCCACTTGCTGAAAGAAAAATGTTTTCCATCAGTTTGTCTGATAAAACTAGAAGTCTGAAGAATAAAAAACAGAACTGTTGGTACAGGTAGTCCTCATTTAATGACCATTCATTTAGCGACCGTTCAAAATTATGACAGTGCTAAAAAAGTGACTTACGACCAATGCCTGAAATTACGACCATCACAGCACTCCTGCGGTCACATGATCGTGATCTGGGTGCTTGGCAATCAGCTCGCATTCATGTTGGTTGCAGCATCCTGGGGTCACGTGATCGCCATTTGCGACCTTCCGGCAAGCAAAATCAATGGGGAACCATGTGACTCACTTAATGAAAGCCACAAAAAAAGTCATAAAATCAGGTCCAGTCACGTGCTTAACGACCATATCACTTAGTGACCTAAATTCTGGTCCCAATTGTGGTCATTAAGTGAGGACTATCTGTAATTCTATTATATGGGTATATAGATGAGGAAAAGAATATAAAGCCGATGACTAAGGTTTGTTGTACTTTCAGCTTACCTAACCATTATTATGGCTCAAGCTCTTCCATCCAAAACACAAAAATAAAAAAGTTGAAAAAACCACACCCTCTTCCTGTTCAGCTATCTGCATCTTGTACATGAAGGTATAACTCTTCTTCATTGGAAGCAGGAAAAGCCCACATTTCTCTTCTTATAGTAGTGGCAAACACAAATTTATCTATGCACAATGTAATATCTCCTTATGCTAGGGTAAATGGGAAAAGACATTCTATGTATTGTCAGGTACCCAGTGATTAGGAACCTTTGGGGAACAGATTGCTATTTCACTATCTTCTCAATTTTCTATGAATTTTGAGCCTTCTGTGCTATATTTCATTCCAAGTCACAAACATTGCAAATCACATTAAAAAAAAACAAAACTATTGGCCAGGGGAAAGTTTACCTTTAAATAGCCAGTATGTATGTCCTTCTTTTGTACAATTCGATTTCAGAAAAGATAAAATATTTTGAGCAATATCTTTTATAACTTTAGTAGAGAAATTGGAGTTCTCCAAATTGGGTATATCTTCTGTCTTAATCATTTCATATTTCTGCAACAAAAAGTGAAGAAATTTTAGAACTGAAAAAATATACTATTTAAAGTAATTATTGTAAGAGTTTGATTATAAAATTGAAAAGCTTGCACACCATTTTGTGATATTTTGATGGATCTAATATAGAAGTTGCAGTTATTAACATGTATAAATGTAAGTTCTTGTAGTACTGCTGAACCTGGATATGCTTACAAATAAAACATGTGTTTACAAAGGCATTCATTCTGTATACAAACTAACACAATGAAGTCTCAGGTGGGCTGCTATCTATTTGCCAAAGCAACCTTCCCTGAATGGATACTTTCCATTTTCTTCAACCAATGTTGTCTTCAGTAACCAGCTATTCTAGCTAGGAACATATCTAGGAGACACCACATTGGAGAAAATCATAGTAAAGATACATTAAGTCTCTGGCTTCATTATGCTTTTGCTGATTTAGATTAAGAAAGCAATCAGTATTTTGACTCGAAACTTACCTGAACAATTCCATTGACATGGAAACACATAACAAGTTCTGGAACATTGCAGATCAAGTTGTCCAGCCAATAATCAATGCCTGTTAGCACATTAATTGGCTTATTGTTATCCCTTCAAACAAAAATGTTCTAATGTTATTTCAATAAAACAGGACTCATTAAAAATATAAATAGAAGTATTGCTTCCAAATTAAATACTAGGTTTATACAATATAGCCCTGTGGATGTTAGCTAGCAGGGCTAATAGGAAAACAGAAACATTTGCAGCAGATATGAAATCAACAATGATTTTGAATAATGACAATTTTTGTATTTTTATTTCTACTATACAATGGAAACTTTTCAATACAAGAAGCAACTTTAAGACTGTCCTTTAAAATTATCTAATTAGATGATCACCAAAATAAAAAAAATAATTAATTCCAAGTGAACTACAGAGACCAAAAATGGGAAGTTATAAGGTACCAGAATATAAGAGTTTGATCTATCAGTAGCTTACGTTTTAATTCCTTCATATTTAACATATTGAAGACACTGAATAGATACTTTATTTGCTAAACAGACAAAATATAGATTAGATTTTTTAAATACTTCATTCATTGGAACTACTTAAGTTTAGTTCATATCTGAATAAGGAATTTATTTATAATGTAACTTTCCTAGCAGCCAGTTATAAACTAAATGCTTGTCATATGTACCCCAGGAGCAATACATGACAAAACCAAGTTATATGTGTTATAAATGAAAAAGGCAAGTTTACACACAAATTATAGATAAGAATGACAAGTTAGCAGCATTTTTCAACAGGCAACTATCTTATCTAATTCACTTAATTCACCTGAGACGCAAGCTGACAGCGGGGTATCTTCCTCCTCCAAATATAGGCATATTTGAACCTACCAACATGTGAATATCTTCAAATGTCCATAAGATGTTCCGAACAAAGTCATTTTTAAGACCCTTTAAATTTGAAGAAGATGCCATGTATAAACATTTATTCTCTTTATTATAAAAAGAAAATGTAACACAGCTTTGCAGACTTACAAGAAAGCAAGTTGCACAACAAGCAAATAAAATATAGCACATGGTAGCTATGCTAGACTTTCACAGTAAAGATCAAGATCACAGGTGCCACAAAACAATTGATAAAAATGATTTTCTTTCCCTCAGCTGCACTGTAAATCAAACTGAGTAAGGGGATTTTATTTCTCAGGTCAAATTCCACATAAAATCATACCTGACTGCTTTCCCCGTCACTGAACAAAGTAGTTAGGTTTTGTTCTTTGGGGGCTGAGGCCACATGCCCCACTACACATGAGGGTTCAAGAGGTACACTTCCCTGTGAAAAGCACAAGGGCATAAGTGATTCTACTGTTGAAATTATATAAACTGTTTTTAATAAAGTACCTATTCTGCATATTGGATAACTGATCTGTGAAGGCTTTATTCACTGAACATACATATTTACCAAGTTCTTTTCAACTGATACCTTCAAACAGTCCATCACAAAAATAATTGTTTATAAATAACTCCTTGTAAGACTTTGCAATTTCATTGTTCATATAAGCACTTTTATCCAGAAAATATTATCCTACAAACTTCTGCACAGAATTCAAGCACACTAGTTTTGGTACTCTTCTGGATGTACTTATCTTAACAGGTACTGAAATGTTTTGCAATAATAGAATTATAAATATTCCTAATGGATGGCCAAATGTTTGCTTGCAATTATATTGTAAATATCCTTCAGTTTTATTGTTTTTCATTCTCACAACCCCTGAACCCAACACTGGAGAACTGAACTCTGCTTAAGTCCTCGACCGTCCCTCCACCAGAACTTCAGAGATTCCTCAGGTCTCTCCTTCCTCAGTCATTCTTCAACATAGAGAGAGGAAGGGAGCAACTGCTATTTCTATTTCCTATTATAGGAAACCATAATCCTCCATCTTCTTCTGTATAGTGAAAACTGCTCCCTACCTCGTTGTACACAAAAAAACTATTCCTTTTAGGAGGAAACAGAAAGAAATTCCTGCTGGACTCCTCCTGCACAGAAATCCTTTAAGAGGGTGAGGAATGGGAAAAGGCTTTATATAGGCTTCTGGAGGCCAAACTGTTTACATACAGAGCTACATACAAAGGCTAGAGATTTTCCAGTCTTGCCAAAGCAGTCTAGATTGATGATACCTTATCAGTAGTCCTACCATAGATTTATCTATCACTTTCAGGTGACATATTGGCTATCCATGCAGTTCTTATTTAGCAATGTTATAAGCAACTTAAGGCAAAGATGAAGGGGAAAAATGGTTGAAAATATAATGGTGCAGACAGAAGATCAAGAGGTAGACAAAGGAAAACACCCTGGATTTGACAAAATAGGAAGATGACAACTGTTGCAGGAACTAAAAGCACAAGAATGTGGTAGAAACTCAGAGACACTAATACTTTAAATGCAAGACTAGAGATCCTATGAAGAGATATTGAAGAAGCTAAATAAAGATATAATAGCACTCTCCAAGTAGCTGAAGAGGTATCACAGAAAAGGAAGTCATGACTTGTTCTCTATGGTCCCAAAGTCTTAGATTATAGGAAGGCAGAAGGTCAGGAAGAACATATTACAAATGAAAGCAGTTTTGACAATTACTTAGGGAGGTATCATTGGACATGTTGAAGTAGAAATTGGACAGTCCAATTTCTACTTCAACATTCTTTTACTCTGCATTCCTATATTAAATGGGAGGTGGACCCTTCTAACTTTATGATTCTATGACTTTGTATGTCTGTCTTTCTCCATTCTGTGAAGTAAGTCAATACCAAGGAAACTTTCTCAAGAACAGGTAGTGCTTGGGTTACAACAGTGATTGGGACTGGGATTGCCATCGCTAAGCGATGCAGTCATAAAGTGCAACGTCATGTGACTACATTACTTAGTGATGGCAATTCAGGCAGTCCTGGTTGCTGTCATAATCCCAAGATGCGCAGGTCATTAAGTGGGAAGCAGCGGGAGTCCCAAGTAAGGAGTGCGAGGGTTCTGCAGGGGTTGGGGGAGGCCTGGTGCAGGCCGTGTGTGAGTTGGGGGAGGGCAGTGCTGCAGAGCAGTACCTGAGGGACAGAGGGCATGGTGCGGTGCGAGTGTAAGGAGGCCAAAGGAGAGAGGACGTGGTGCAAGCACAGGGAGGCCAAGGAAAAGAGGGCACGGGTGCATGCGAGTGCAGGGAGGCCGAGGGAAGGAAGGCACAGAATATGCTAGCACAGGGAAGGTGAGGGAAGGAAGGCATGGCACGGTGCACAGGAAGGCTGAGGATGGGGGGACTTACTAGAGTGACTTGCGACTTTCCATGCTGGCTTCTCCATTGACTTTGCTTATGGGAAGCCATTAAGGAAGGTCACACATGGTGATCATGTGACTGGGATCCTGCAACTGCTGTAAGTGAGCTGGTTGCCAGGCACCCAAATTGCGATCATGTGATCGCAGGGGTCCTGCCAGGACTTTGAGGACCAGTCATAAGTACTACTTATCCAGCGCTGTTACAATTTTGAACAGTCACTGAACAAGTGGTTGGTAAGAGTGGACTACCTGTAGGTACCTATTAAAATCCCTTTAAAAGTAATAATAACCAATCCTTGGCATTTGGCCGCTTGTTGTTACTACTGAATCTCATTCTTAAATTAGGATGCAACTCTCTTATGGGTACTAATCTACTAAATGAATAACAATAAATTTTGCAGTACTTTTGCATTCTGGAAACATCTAGTTCTTTTGATGAACATATGCTAATAGTTGACAATAAAAGTTAACATAGCATACAGTAGTTTCCCAGCTAGCATGTAAAACTAATCTATGCAGCCAAACTATGGGCAAGCCTGAGCTCACTTAGTTTTCTAGTATGTAGACCAAAACACTGATTCCTCCTGAGAATTCTTCTTTGGATACTCAGGACTCTGAAACTTTTGCACCAGAATTCCTGCAAAGATGGACCATAAAGAGATGGGGAAATTCATGGAACAAATTCAGGAACATATAAAGAACAGTAATATATTTGTATAGCACCCCAAATTAGCAGGAAAAGCAATGATTCTATACCACAGGTTTGGGCACATGTTTTCTGTAACAACATACAAAGGTTGAGTTAACAGATTTTCCTTATTAACAGGATTATGTGAAGCAAAGTAATAACAATAAAAGCTGGCCTGACATAAATAAGAACATGGGGATATTATCTAGGCTCTAAGCAATCCATTTTTCCAAGTTTCTGATCCATCCACCATTCAGAGCTTAAAACAAGGAAGAAAACCATAAATCTTCATATCACACCAGAAAAAGTGTAGTTATAAATATAATCTAAGCATTTTTCTCAGACATGTTCTCATTTACTTTCTGTGTGAGCAGGCAGCTGACAAATATTCATGTTAACTGCAGCACTTTGCAATCTCTTCTGAAATACAGTCAAAAGCAAATCAAACAGTGCAATTTGAAGTATGCCTAATAGTTTAATTGGGAGTTATACTTAAACTCATGTACATAAATGACCTGGAAATCCTAAGTGTTCTCCACACCATGCTATCTAGTAAGCTCTCGTACACTCACTTATAAGTTGTATTTTGCTCCCATCTTCCTATGAAAAAGGGCGGGAAGCTGCAAATTTTCCCTGCTGTTTAACAGTCACCAGACTAGGCACTGGCAATAAGTGCTATAAGAAACACCTGCTACTGTCAAGATAGAGAGGACACAATATTTACCTGATTAGAAGCACCTGCATCTTCAGAAAGGGAGGAGGGCATTTCAAAAGGGGCTGGCCAAGAAACTCTGCTAGGTGCATCAGTTTCATCTTCTGTTGTTCCTTCCTGATTTTGCTCTTTGGAACTAGGAACAGGTTGAGCAGCTTCATCACCATTGATACTGACAAGACAGAAATCGAAAATGTTAGTTAAATCATTTTCATAAAACTTAACATTTAATATTGTTATTTTTAATAACATCCTAATATTTACAATTAATGTGAACACATAACATTTTCCACAAATGTAATTTGGGGCTCTCTATACCCGCAAGCGACTGCAACATAGTAGATTTGCCTCTTTTTATATACTTTATTGTTATTTCTAATTGGGAATCTACCATACTGAAAAACTATTTTTTTCCAAGGTTAATTCTTAAGCCTATGAAAATCTCTGCAGTTTAACGTTGCTTAGAAGTGTGCCCAGCTACCAGGGAGCACACGCAGAAAGGACAAAGGAGAGTATCATGGGTAGACTAAATGAAGGATGAACAAGCCATGTGTGTATTTATGTTGCCATGTTGTGTTGGTATGTTTTGGTGTGACACGCACTGTATACACGTGCTGTCTTTTTGTGGAGATTGTTCTGCCTATGTGCCGTTTTCTGAGCAGCACCAATTTACTTTCTATAAAACACTATTTTGGTGTAATTTGTACAGGCCAGTATGTGTAATTTGAGATTCAGCCCTGTCTCTGCTTTGGACCCAGTCTCCTAAATAAATTACCTGTCCCTAAGTCTCATTATTTTGCTTTTGATAAACAGATACTAGAGCAGAAAATACATACATTTTCCCAAGTATGCAATCTTGCTGCCATTCAACCATCTAGATTCAGCATTACAAAAGTATAAACAGTTATAAGCTTAGTTTTGCAGCAAGATGCAGACCATTAGTGTTAATTCAATTTCTTTACACTTTTTTTTAGTGTTCCTTAAGAAAAAAAATACTAAATTAAAAAAATCACATTCAAATGTCTTCATTTTTGGTACTACAACTGGATTCAAAGTGCTATAAGTTCATGGAAACTTTAAGCTCTCCCTGTCTAGCCACAGGCAACTGCAGCTCTCCACAAGAGGGGGAACTTTTTGAATGACACTCCATGGGAAATGAGAGACTATAATCAGAAGGAAAAATCACCTTCTATGTGGTCTTCTCTTCTTGGTCAACGCTCAGAAACAAAAGAGATATGTCATCTAAGCTTTGAAATTATGGTTTTTACTTAGGATGTAGATATATTATAGGATAAACACAAAGGAACAATTTTAACAGAATCACAGAAAACAAAAAAATTACAAAGAGGTACCTGTAATATAAAAATTTGGAAAGTATAGCTTTGTGGTACCAATGTTCTTTGCTCTTCTTTTTTCGTTGCCACTTCTGATCTATTAATCTCTGATAGAATTCTTTCAGCCATGTCCAGTCGCCAGTCTAAATGACAAAGAAAAATAAGAACTCAAAAAGGAAGCCATAGTCATTACTTTATTAATAGTAAAAAAAAAAAGATAAAGATGCCCTTGAGTTAAGCATGGTTCCTGGTGTCCACACAGACACATCCAGACAGTTTTCTTGGCAACAATATATATAGAGCCTGATATTCAGGCAGCATATAAATCTTTGTAATAAAAGATTAAAAATGAGTGGTTTTCCATCTTTTTTTTTTTTTTTTTACTTTTTGGTCTAGTTTACAGCCCTGAAATTCTCATCTGTTAAGAGGTTTGTTCACTTGATATCAAAGATTGGTTCAATGAAGTGTATGTATCTTTAGTCTCTGAATTACCTCTTTAATTATACAATAAAAAACTGGACAATATGATTCTTTGGGGTCAAGGCCTAATTTGTTGTTCAAAAATAGAAAATGTATTTTATTTAGTAATCATCTATTTTAGTGTTTTTTCTTTTTTCTAGTTTGTCCTATTTTTCTTTTCTTAGTTGCATTAAAGCAATAAATAAATAATAGTGCTTCCACCTGTTGAGATAATTTATTTATGATAATACAAATATCACATACAGCATGTTTCATCAGGCAAAATTCTAGAAAAATGAAGATGCATACCTTTCATCAAATTGCATTGCTACATTTGCACATAGTCAAACTAAATGTGGCTGCCATAACCATAACTCTAGAACTCTCCTGAGGACCACAGATTGTTTCACCATCCCAACTTTCCTAGAAAGAATCCCAAGTGTTTCTAATAATATCACTGAACAATAAACAGCAACATTATAAACTAAAAGAAAACTGTGATCACCTGTGATGATCTCATAAAGAGTTCTTGAATATCTAAATCATCCAAAAGAAGTGTTCTCCCAATTCGATGTACTGCCATGCTGACATGTGATTTGCTGTAAGGTATCTTGAGGAGCTTTTTAATATTCTGCAGAGTAAGAGAAAAAGAATACTTTTGAGGAATTGGGCAGATTTCCAACTCAGAAGCTTCCACAGATAAACTTGAGAGGAATCATAAAAAAAGAAAAAAATCAGCAATACAGCATAGTTCCTGATTGATATTTATCAACACCATCAGAATTTTGAAAGGCTTTTTGGCGAGACTTGAAAATGACTCAGTTCAGATATTCGGGAAAACTTCTGTGAATTTTCATTAAGGAAGCCCTACTACGGTTTGGTGTAACACTGAATTAGCACCCAACATTTCCTATAAACTTTAAAACATGAATCAGAAACATTGCTTTCAAAAGAATTCAGAAACCATGTTTTACACTAAATATGGATTAAGAGAATGTTGCCCAAATTAACAAATTATAGATATTTCTCTAATCCCAGCATTGCTGTAACTAGAGACTAGAATACTAAGCAGAGGAAAACTGAAAAGCTGTAAACCATGGCTTATCGAAATACATGGACTGTCAAGTATTATGGCTTGAAGAAATTCCTGTGTGGAAGAAGTAATAAGATGGAAGTATGAATAGAAAAGTATTAATGTACTTTACAGTATTTCATGTAATAGGATTTTTTAAATCAATGCAGTAAACACAAATGCTAAGACATTTGGACTACATTCAACATTTGGGGTAACGGTTGTTGTCTTCATCTCCTGGTTGACGTGGCTAGAAAACATCATCTAAACTAACTAGTGATGACAGTCCTAGTATTTAAATAAGCCATGAAGCAACCTCTTCTTAGAGGTGAGACTTGTCTCACCACTGACTACATTCTGGAAGTTGGTCAAGACTGATCTCTAAAAGGTTTTAGCTCATCCTCTCCTCTGCAATACCTTATCTCCCCACACAAAACAAAATATATACCAAAGGGTTGTGAACTACTCCTGAGTGCAGAAGAAAATTCCAAACTCTGTATGGAAAATTGACAAATCTCTCAATTTTAATTCATGAAAACTTGACTGGACCTAGGCCACTTCTCTGAATGGAAAGGTACCTTTGGATTCAACCCATTCCACCTGCATTTGATTACGCTAATGTGCTCCTAATTAGAAGAGAGAACACTATTCTTCTAAAGTATGACTATCTTGATAATAAAAACTGTAGGCATTTAATGCTGTCAAACAGTAGTAGTAGTAATTTTTATTTAATGTGCACTTATGACTAAGATCAGTATAGGTAAATCAGTAAAATATAATATAGTATCAACCAAAATCAACAACACTAAAATAACTAATAGATAATATCAGCACAACTACAACATAAATCTATATGACAAAAAATTATTCCAGCTTCATAAAAGTCCTGCAAAAAGAAGTGTTTTAAGGGCATTTTTAACCCTCCATATGTGTTTTGATTATGCTGATTGTTTGAAACTGTTCTTTCTATATTATGTTAACCACCAAGAGGTGTTTTGATTGTGGTGGAATATAAATGTAATAAATAAATAAAATGATTTTAGCATGAAACTCTCCCCTTTAAAATGTGGCAAGATCAATTAAATAATATAGCAAGTTTGGGTTACACACTATGTTATTTTACTTAAGAATATACATACCTCAGAATCGGATACAACATCCACATCATTTCCAACTGAGTCGATAAAATCATATGCCATGCCAAAGCTATTTTAAATAAAGATATGAAATTAATCAAGAATTGCGTTTATTTTTAAAAATCAATGCACTAACTTTTTATAACTTCAGTTTTGTACCCCATATTTTTATCTCCAAGGCGTTCAAGGTAGCTAATAGATTTTTAAAATTGAAACCTACTTAAACACAGCAGTTAATCACCATAATTAATTCAAAAAGCCTGACCAAAAAGGGAATTATCATTTTCTAAAGCCAAAAAGAGTGAAAAAACTGCTAAGGGATTGCATTCCATATCATTTAATCAATGCATAGCTTTTAAATGTAATTCAATAATTATATGTCTAAATAACATTATAAATCATTCAAATATTAAGAGTTTAGACCAACTACTTCTCTCTTCCTCTTCCTGGCAGTAAGGATATGTAGGGAGATGCTAATAGATCCCATCATTACCATCAATTCAACTTTAAACAGGAAAAAGGAGGACAGCGATCTACCATCTCTATTACTGCTACTGATTTATAAAGGAAAAGATCCCAGTCCTTTTTCTCAGAAAAATACTTTTTCCTTTTTAAAATTCAATATTTACTGCCATTATTTCTCCTCAGAAAAGAACAAAAATGTATTCATTTCCCAAAGCAAAATTTGTTACTAGATGTAAAACATAATTTTATTGATAACAGAAAAACAGAAGTAGAAAATTCAAATAATAATGGTGTATGCTCAGTTATTGCTATGAACACGGAGATGGGGAGGAGGAGAGAGAGAACTGATTAGAAATATGTCATTCTGTACTTACAGACCAGACTTCCACCAAATTCTTCCACAGAATACATCTGTTCTTTTCTAACCCCATTCTCTACTCTGGTTTATTCTTACATACACTGGCCCACACATCAAAATAAGGTTGATTTCACATCAGAATTTTGATAGATATACTATATGTGGGCTACAAAATATGGGACAGCCATTAGATGGCAGCAAAGAGATTCAGAAAAATACTTGCTACCATCTAATGGTCATCTGAATTTTTACAGCTCAAATTAGGGAGCCCTAGGTATCTTCCTCCCAGAAACTGTAGCTACCTCAGAGATTTTTTCGCTGTCTCTAAATTACACTATACCAAGGGTTCCTCTGTGCTGCCTCCATAATATTCTGGCCTAGTTCCCTACAGACAGATTAACCTTCCTCAAACCACACATTCCACTCATTAGTTCTCTGATACTGACAGTGACCTTAGTTCCTTTCCCCTCAGTGCTTGCTGTTTCTGGTTATATGCTGCTCCTCCCACAGTTTCTATCTTCTCTATTCAATTTTCCTGTCAAATCACCATTTCATGAAATTAACTTTGGGATTCTATTATTTAATTATTTTATTCAATACAGCCATTTTATTGAGACTTAAACCCACTAAGAGCGCAAGACAATTATAAGTTTTAGTTTTCTGGGACGGCTTTCCATTTGCTGAAAATGACAATTTTCTAACTATTTCAGCACACACACACACATATGAATTGGTGCAAAATTCTTTAGCTCCTATATTTTGCCTTCCGCACAATCCAGTGGATTGACATTAAATCACATTTATCTGTAAATCATAATTCATGAACTGCCTTTTAACAAATTTAAGATTATTTTTACTACAGATTTGGTGGGGATAAATAAGGTTCCCAACATTTACCTTGAAAATGGTTTGCTTTTCTTGCTGTTGCCAAGAATAGTTGCCCCCGCTGGTCCTAGTTTTGCACTTTCACGTAACCAGTTAGCAGGTGGAAGTTTCAGATCAGTCTTTTCTTGAAGACGGGCAAACGCTGCTTGCGGTGGTGCAGATGAATATTTTACAACAGCACTGCTCTTTATTTCATTGCCACCAAGAAAGAGCACAGATCCCTAGATTATATAAAGCAATTTAGAATTATGTAGTTCAAATGCACACACTCCATACGCATATACTTTGCTCATTTGATCTTATTTCAAACAAATAATAAAAAAAGAATGAACAAAAATAACTACTCAGTTTTGATATGTCATAATTAAGCTCATCTGTTTTATACAACTCATCCCTAGGGACACTGGGTAATGAGAAAGACTTTCTGATGGATCCTCAATACCATTTGAGGATCATTAAATATATTTCTACTGTCACAAAAGAAAAGAAGGAAAACTAGTAAACACATTGAAGCTGTTTTAGGGGTGCTTTTGATGCCCCTCTACAACCACAAGACAGTTCTGTCTAATATATCAGAATTTCTATCCAATCCTTGGAATTCCATTTTGCAACGACCCTGCTTGTCCTCCTCTCTATTTAAGCAACTGGAAACTGTAAACTCGACAAAAGCAACTAACCAGGAAAAAGGTAGTGTGTGAGAAGGCATAGAAAAACTGTGACTTCACTGACTTTGTGTCACAGCTATATTTTTACTTCTCTGGCTGTCCCAACTTCACCCATTTGCAGAACCTGCCACGTGAAAAGGGACTAAACGCTGCGTTTATTCATCTGTTCCCAAAGTCCAAGTCCAAACGACTGCCACACAAAGAAGGCAGATGCGAGTTTCACATCTGTTGAGCTACATGTAAAGGGACAATTGGGAAGACAGACAAGAAGGACAGAGTTCCGTGACTCACGGGAAGAAGTTAGCGGCTGCCCTAAAGCCGCGCTGAGATACCTGTTTAGACTCGTCTTGTTCTCCTGTCAGCGCTACTTGTCCGGGCTCAGACGTCCCCGAGTAGCTTCTCTCATTGGGGCAAACCCCAGCCCCTGTTCCCCAGAGGTCTCCCATTCGTTTCACTCGGCTCGCAGCAACGACGAGAGCAGCAGTTGCCACAGGAAGTCGAAAGCCCTCTCTGACAGGAGGAGGTTCCTGCAATCTAGAAACCACCGGAAAGAACGCGAAGCCACCCCAGACGTCCAGCTCTTTCCCTTCCTCTCTGCGTTTCTTTGGTTCCGTTCCTCGCCAAACAGAGGGAAGGCTCCCGCGCTCAGACGAGCTCTCGCGATATCTCCTGTTAATCGCTGGGAGGGAGAGGGCAGCGAGCGGGGCAGCCTGGGTCACAAACGTGGGTGCTGCGAGTTGTTTGTTTGGCTTTGAGGGATAATGGAAATGATTCATTGACATTATTACTTGTCGACTCAGGAGCACGTAGCCCCTTATATTCCAGGCTTCGACTCCACCCCACCCCGTCAGTATAGCAGCAAAGTGTTTTGGAGAGCTGTAATCAAATGTTGGGAAGCACCACTATCTCTTGCTTAATTAATATAACTAGTGACACCTGCTGCTTCAATGACAAATGGATGACTCCCAGTTCGATTTAAAGCTCTAGATGTTTATTCAGACGTATGAAACTAAAAGGACTTCGTTGAATTTCAACTTCGTTTAAGTTCTTTGTTGAGAACTTTTTCTCAAGAAACGTGCAGAGGCTTCGGCTGAAATTAGAACTTTTTTTTCTTAATATGTATATGCAAATCTCATGAAAAAGGCTGCATGTATTTAATCACATACAACTGCTATGTTAATCATCTGTGTGTGTGTAGGTTTGTTTTTCTCTGCAACTATGTTAATGGACCATATACACTTTTTAAAATAAATTTTATTAAATTTCAGAAAGATTAAAATACAAAAAAGGTAAAAAGAAAAACATATTTTTCTTTTTAAGAAAAAACAAAGCATAAAAAAAGAAATGTAACTTCCGACTTTCTTTGACACAGGTATAAATGTAAAATACATTCATCTTTTACTCTAATATCTAAATATTTACATAGTAAAAAATAATTTTTAGTCTAACATTCAAAAAGATCATAGAATCAATCTATTTCAACAATATGTAAGATTAGTACAAGATATTTCTATAGGTATAAAATAAATCAGTCATCAAATCCCAAAATTAAAATTGCGTTTTTTTGAGTATCAAGCAAAAAGTCCAAGAGTGGTTTCCAATTAGAAACAAAGGTAGACAGTGTCCTTTCTTTAAGCAAAATAGTCAATTTCGCCATCTCCACCAGTTCCATTAATATCAATATCCATTCTTCAGCTGTAGGAATTTGTAGATTGGACCATATAAACTTTTTAAAGAATATGTTCTAAGTTGAAATATGGTTACTTCCAATGATATTGTCTACTAACATACCTTCCAGTAACAGGAAATGCTGCTGAAAGTTCTCTTGGAAGTTTTATTTTTCAAACGTACTAATGCAATGCTGTGTGTAAGCTTACCATATTTCCAAGGGGTTAAACTGAGACAAAGTCCAGATCAATAGACAAAGCAGGGAATGCAGAGTTGAGCCTTCTAAAAGTCAAGCTTGCAATTTCTGACAAGTTTTGTCTTGTGGCAAACATGTGCATCCTCTTCCAAAGGGAGAGCATAGATTTAGCCATTGAAAAGTGTTCCCCCTTTGCCTGTACACATGAGGGGTGTGTGTGTGTGAGTTTTATCAGATGGCTATACCCACATTCCCCTAAACTGGGGGAAAGAGGTTGTGACAGATGGCTAGTGCTTGTTCTCTGTGTGTCTGTAACAGGACTTTTTTGTAACTCGACAAGAAGCTAGGACTGGAGCACAAAACTGAGACATAGTCAACCCAGGATGTTTGATAAACTTAGCTGTGCGTTCAGTATTAACTCAAAATTACTCAATTCTTCTTATACCCATCACTGTGTTCCATAGAACCTTTAACCATGGTCTAAAAGAATCCATAGAGTGGTGATAGTTGCAAATCACCTAGAAACAGCAGCCACTTTGGATCCATATAATACATTCATCCTTAAGGCTCATGTCATAGTTAGGGCTGCCACAAGGAGAGGGAAGAAGAATAAGATCGCCTATTAACCACTCAGACTGATTTAGCTTGTCATATAAACACACTAAGCCATAAATAATGGCTTTCATATTAGTGGCTCAGTTCAGATATTATATTTGTAAATTATACAAGTTACACTGGCTCATGATTATGAACAGATGTTCATATTCTGAATGTGTGTTTATATACTGCATACACCTCCTAGTTGTGAGATAAGGTAACAATATGTTGCTTTGCAAGATAAGCCTCTAGATTATAGATCCTGCTTGCATAGAATAGCATGAACATGCCAGGGTAAAACTGGGTGTGGCATATTGGCCAAAATGTGCAAAAATGAACTGTTACTGCCCAGGCAGGGAATGATGCATATGTCACAGGTGTGACCAAAGCTGCAATCTAGTCTACATCTTCTGTATCTTATTAAAAAGTCTTTTGTGAAAGCCTTGATCAACCAAACCCATAATGGGCAGAAGATAGATAGACAGACACACACACACCCCTACACCTGTTTGGTGATGACCACATCATAGTGAAGTTTGTGATTTGGAATGTAAGAGGAATAAATAAAGACTATAAATTAACTAATACAATGAAAGAGAGAAAAAGAGATATATTGTGTTTTTATGACACTGAGAGAAAGGAGGAGTATGTTATAGATCTGAAACAAAGTAGACTGAGCTTATGTCATGGAGTTGATGAACACATGCAGTGAAGGTATTCATTATGAGTGAAACAGCCATAACATACGTCACTTGGTATCATCTAGGTTGTTATTAGTGGATTTGAAAGCAGGAATCCATAGAGTGGTGATAGTTGCAAATTAGAGTGGTGATAATGAAGGAAACAGTTGAGTTTGGAGGGAAATTGTGCAACATTCTGAATGAATGAGATTCAGGAGAAAAAATATTTTGCTGTGTGATATGAAGGGATGAGTGGGGATAAGGAAGTTCAGAAAAAGTTATTGGACCATTTGGAGACACAAGAATAAATGAGAATGATGTCTAATGAGTATCTGTTTAGAAAAATGTATGTTTCAAACATATGGTTTAAGCACAATTTCAGGCATCCGTACTCGTGGCAAGAGATAAATATAAATAAAAAAGAATGTCTGACATGATTGTTTATGATAAAAGATTAAAAAGGGTACAAGAGTGGTTAGAAGTTCTGAATCTGGAATAAACTGATCCTAGTTAGTATCAAGAGTTGAAAAAATGGACATGGAAGAAATGGAAAGAAATTAGATTGAATGTAAAATGTCTGTGGGAATAGTTATACAAATCCTTTATGAAAAGGGTTTAGAAAATAGATTATTCTCACAAAAGAATGATTGGAAATGGATATAAGGAAACTGCTTGGAACAAAGTGAAAATAATTATGCTGCAGACTGTCACAGAAGAATGTGGTGATATGCTAATAATAAGTTTGAAAAGGATGCCTAGTGGAATCATGAAGTGGAATAGGCTGTGAATGAGAACTTTTTTGTATATAATCATTGCTGGAAAAGATTAGAGTAAAATATTATATAATGTATGCAGAGGAAAAAAGTTGGTTGCAGAGAAAGTAGTCAGAGAGAGCAAGGTACCCAGGCAGAATAAATGCACAGCGATTTTGATGGAAATACAAATCTGCTTTGAAGTGGATGAAGAAAGTTAAGTAGCTCCCAGAAGAACGAATGGAATTAAAAATAAAAGTGATGTAATTATTAAGGTTGAAACTGAAGTGAGGGAATGCTGGAATAAATATTTTAGCTACTGTATAGGAATGTCAGTGATACATTGAAGAGTAGAATTGAAATGAACATAATAAATATTAGTATCCAGGAAATAAATGATGAAATACTGTGGAAATGAAATTTTAAAAAGTGATGAAATGATTAGGTAGGGAAAAAATGCTGGAAGGAACATTAGAGATATGTGAAGGCTTTTTCAATGCCCAATGATTGGAAGAATGCCATTATTATTCTCCTATACAAAGGGAAAGGTAGTAAGAGTGAATGTATAAACTTCAGAGGAATTAGTTTATTCAGTGTGCCTGGGAAGGTATTTGGCAAAATTCTGATTGAATGAAAATGAGTACAATTTGGGAGCATAGTACAGCATTTTTGCCAGATAGCAATCTGGAAATGTACAATAAAATGAAGAGGCATAACATGTGAAATGTTTTGCATAAATATGGAGCTATTTGCTGAATGTACTAAGAGCATATATTACGGAAATAAACTATGTGTGAAAATAAATAGAATGAATGCTTAGTGAATGATTCACCATTGAACAGGAAGTAAGACTGTGATTTTCTCTTAGTTGTTTAATTTATTTATAAATAATTAGGAGTGCTTGTGATGACATTAGAGGTATATTGGTTTGAGACATCAATACAGAACTACTTTTGTATGCAGATAATGTTGTTTTGATGGCTGGGAATCTAAATGATCTGCGGCAATTTTTAGATGCAATGAGTATAAATCCCATAATTTATATATCAAAGATCAAGGTAGTTGCATCTTATAGAGAAAATAGAATGGTTGTTTGTTATACATAAGTGAGAAAAAACTAGAGCAAGTAAATGAATTTATGTACCTTGATAGAATGTTAATTAAAGATGGGGTAATGGATAATGAAAATTTAAGACATGGAAATACTGGTAAAAAGGCAGTGGGTTGCATGGGTTCTGTGACAAGGAGTAATGTTTATTGAAAGAAAGAAAAATAGCAGTACATAAGAATGTGCTTCTGCTCACTTTGCTATATAGAAGTAAAAGTTGAATATGGCAGGAGAAACAAATTGAAAATACTAGGAAAAGGGGCATTAAAAAGTGTGTGTGGTAGAACAAAAAGAGATAGGGTCAAGAACATATGGTGCTGAATGAATGTGGATTTAATACAAAAGTGAATGACCACAATGAATAAGTAATGTATAAGGTTTGGTCATCTAGAGAGAATGAATGAAGCTTGAATTGCAGAAAAATATATATGAAGGAAGAGTGAATGAATTAAGAGGAAGACCAAGAAAGTCATGACTGGATGGAGTTGATGAGATCCTCAAATAAGAGAGGTTAAAATTTTAAAGAGCAAAAGGAAATTATGCAGCTGTGTATAGCCATGGTAGAACCAAGGATCATTTGCAAGAATATAAAGTTATGAGAAGATATTGTTAATGGTGTTGAGATAAACTGGTTTTACCTATGTTTTATTTTGCTTATCTCAATCCCATTATTCTTTTAGCTCAGTGTTTTTTATCCTTTTTCTGTGCTCTAAATAAGTCATTATTACAAAAGGAATAGCGTGTTGTGAATGGATATGTGTAGCAGCAGAATTATAACATACACAGCTGAATTCTATTACTGTATGCTTACGTTGAATTATTTATTCAATTTTATCTTGCTTTTCTGTTTTAACTGAAAACTCAGCAAAAAGAAAATACACAAAAATGATAAATATTAATGTTAACATGTAAGGTTTGCCTAAAGAAATAAGTCTTAAATGATCTTTTAAAGGCAAGGAGAGCAAGAGCCAAAGTCAAATCCTGAGGGAATACTTCCTTGGCCTGAGAGTTAAGCTGGAGAAAGTCCTCTCCTTTATGCCAGCTCAAGAGGTCTCTGGAAGTGGAGACATCTTCAGAAAGTCACTCCTTTAGGACTTAAGTTCAGAACAGGCAATCTATAAGATCTGCAGGCCCTAAGGCATTTATGGCTTTAAAGTTTAACATCATCTTAAACTGTATTTTGAAAGCAATTGGCCATCATTACAAAACTTTCAACATGGATAAGCTGATACTGATATATTGAATCAGTTAGCAACCCAGCTGCCTTTTGAGTTAGTGTTGACGCCTGGCAACTGTCTGGACAAGTCCCTGCAGTTTTCTTGGCAAGATTTCAGAAGTGGTTTGC